GTTTCTTTTCTGATTGTTCGAATTTTCATGGCAGCGCAGTGCCAAAAAACTCCACCCAAGGTTTGCCCATCATGAAATCTGGAAGGACGTACTGCCCAACACAGTTCACAAACCACCCATGGATTTGCCTTCTCCCATACTGTGTGTTCAGTTATGCAAGGTGAACTCACCTATTCTTCCCTTAAGGCAGGAAATGGCATCAAGATGAGGCAATCCTTTTGAAACCCTCATTGATCTATTGCCAGCTGAGTGAGTAATTGCACCTCTTTCAGAGAGACAGAATGCAGGCAGATGCTTTAAAAGCCTTTTCCTCTTCTGAGATGTATGGATGCATCTAAAGCATAGCTCACAAAAGACTTCGTTATCCTAGGCCTTTTCCTGTCTGGAGAAGATACTGCTGCTTGTGCTGGATGAACAGCAGCTATCACAGGACTATTCCCATTCAAAATTTGCATATGCTAATTTACATTTCTGTTGCTTGGCACAGCTATATATACTAGGAACATGAAATTGGAATTAACATTCCTGAAAATATTCATGCAAATAACAACATCCTCCTTTGTAATTAAAGCTCATAAACTTGTTGTTGAAATCCAAGCTCAACTGACTGATAGCTCAAGTCTTCCTAATGCTGTAAACAAAACTGTCAGTTTTTTTTATCCAGAAAAATACTGAGGCTGGGACAAACATATGTTGTATTCTTTTAAGAAGTTATGCCTGTTCCTTCAAAGGCCTGTTGAAATTCCCAGGTAGAATTCACTGAAATCTGGCCACTTTATTTGTATATTTTATACTTTATTTGCAGCTTGGGGTGTTCCTTGTCCCCGGTCTGACCTTGGAAGCTCAGGTGGACTCAGTGTCCAGGGGTGCCTTCTTACAGCTGCAGAGAATATATCAACTTCACCCTTACTTGGATGAGTGTAGCCTGGCAACAGTCACACATACATTGGTAACAACCGGACTGGACTATTGCAATGTGCTGTACATGGGGCTGCCTTTGAAGTTGGACTGGCGACTGCAACTGGCACAGAACCAGGCTGCGCAGCTGGTAAATGGTGCTGCCACGTGAAGTCATATCATGCTGGTTCTGAAAAATTTTCACTGGCTGCCTGTTGCTGCTCAGGCCCAATTTATAGTGTTTACTTTGACATATAAAGTCCTAAATGGCTTAGGACCTGGTTACCTAAAGGGACCGCCTTCTTCCATACGAGCCTGCCCGTCCTCTAAGATCAACCCAGGAGGCCCTTCTGAAGGTGCCATCCCTGAAAGAGGTGAGGGGGATGGCATGTCGAAAGAGGGCCTTCTCGGCTGTTGCCCCCCAACTTTGGAATGCCCTCCCTATAGAGATCCACCTGGCTCCAACACTTTCGGCTTTTCGGTGCCAGGCAAAGCCCTTTCTGTTTAGCCAGCATTTTAATTAAATAGTATCCTTTAGCTGACTATATGAGCAGCAGGATTGATTAAAGATAAATTGACTGTTTTAATATAGGATATTATTATAATATTGCCTATTTTTAATGTGTTTAATGTTTTCTTAAGTTTTAATATTGTTGTACGCTGCTCAGAGACCATTGGTAATGGCGCTGCTAAAACATCTTGTAAATAAATGAATAAAATATATTACACTGTTACCCCTATCTTCCCGCAAAGAGCTAAGGGCAATTCGTATCATTTCCATTTTATTCTCACAAGATTCCTATAAGTTGGATTAGACTGTGAGACACAGACTGGCTCCATGAACTTTGTAAGCCTGGTCCAGAAACAGTATGCTAACTGGATGTGGGTAGATCTGCCGGACAGTTTCCCACGAATGTTCTTCTTTCCCCACATCTCCATCCACAGTGTACTAATTCCACATAGATTTCCCCCACTGAGAAAACATCTGCAAAGAACTGGCACAGAATGGACTTGGATGTCAGAAAAGGAAGAAGCCGTTTGCTTGCTGTTTAACAAGCACATTATTCAAATGCACACAATAATGGACATTTGAGATAAAGCAGCGTCTTCAGATGTGTGTCTGAAAATGAAACTGTATTAATAATTGTATGATTTGGGAGTGACTACGGAGCTGGCCATATAGCCACTGGTTGTTCATGGGCTGAAGTCCCCCTAAGGAACTTTTGTGTTCAGACCCACATCTATGAGGTTAGGTTATCATTTTGTTTTGTTTTTACAAAAGAACACCTCATAATTCCAAGTAAGGAAGTTGTAGCATTCTCCTTTTATTTGATCTATGGTTCTTGTTGTATTATGTAATGGTTTATGAATATTCATGTTGCTGAGAGGTGGAGTCAAGAGAGATGCTATAAGAGGTGGAGTCAGAGAGTCAGAGAGTTAGTTTAAGTTAGTTAGAGAGAAATGTAAGAGTCAAGCAGGAGAGAAAAGCCAGACAGAGTAATAGAGTGTGTCGTTTGGGAAATTTAGGTGTGATTAGCTACTGAAGATATTTATGAATCTCTGTAATCAATAAACCAAAGTTTTATTTAAAAGAACTTGAAGTGTGGACCTGAATCTTTCTGAAGTAAATTGTGATTTAGAGATCACCCGGTGGCAGCAAGTGTAAAAGAAGAGAGTGTTTGCCTTTGGGGCTCGAAGGCCAAGAAAGGGGCACGAGGGTGGACGCCACAGAGGTGTCTTGCCTTACCTTGACCAGAATAGGAAGAGTGCATCTTGCAGTTGGAGAGGGAGGGGCAGTGAACAGGGAGGACTCAGGGCTCAGCTGGCAGTACCCTCAGGGAAGCCTCGGGGAGAAGGGCCGAGCTCATTTCCCCCCAGTGAGGCATCAGATGATGAGGTCTCCTGATAACTAATGGGAAACTGCTAGCCCCCAGGGAGAGGTAAGTGGAGAGTTATAAATTTGGAGATGTGAAACATTTAGTTGTGGGAGACAACGTACAGTGGTGCCTCGCTTAGCGATTGCCTCATTTAATGATGTATT